GGGCAAGGTTTATTGTCCCCCTTACGTAGATACAATATGGGGTATATGGGGCTCTCATGATAATATATCCAAAGCCATATTCTATATACTTAAGGGGAACTATAGGGCTCAGGGTTGAGGGATCCGAGGGTTCGTGAAGGGGTGCAAACCCTGCGGTGCTCCTGCTATACTGCAACATGAGAGCCCTTATGGATTCGCATCGAACTTGGTGCTATGAGAGTATTTCTGAATATTCAGGTCTGACTATAAATCACCAGAACGCTATAAGAGCTACAGTTAAAAGTGTACCATGTAATTAATGGACATGGGTTCCCTGCTATGAATATGTAAGGGAATCTACTACCAAAGGGACTCTTATGTCCACCCTTCATGGTCTCTTGATGAGGCTAACACCGACGGTAGCCCATAAGGACAACCCAAGACACACCAGGATTTCAGAACCGCGGAGAGTATAGCTGCCATGTTTGTTGGCCCCCGAGGAGCTCTCCGACCTGGTCCTTATACACCTGTGAATATTCCTGGCAGGTCCTAGCAGGTTTCCACATTCCCAAAGACCTTGGGGTTCTAAGTCCTCAAATAATACCTACATTGGGGCCCAAAGGCACCGAGTCTATAAATAAACCAACACTCGGCAATTTGAAGCCTTAGGGAAAGGAGGGATCCTTACAGAATCCCAAGTTACTCTGAGGCCCTTCAGCAAGTCATCATCGCACAATGCAGCATGGCATGAGCTGACAAATACATCCTGCGTCTGTAAATCTTACCTGCATCGGGCTATTTGAGTCCCTTTGGTGTCTGGCTCACGAGTATGGGTACGGTCGGCAAAAATCAAGTGGCACAACAAGGAGTTCAGGGTTTAGGTCCACGTAACAAATATTGCGTACTTGCCCTGAACCCTAACCACTACTAACCCCCTTTCCGTGTCCCTCTGCCGTTCCGTGTCCTAGCTGAGCTCAAGGCTCCCACACCTTGGGGCTCAGGGGGTGCAATTGGTGTCCGCATTACGTCAGACAGCCAATATACCATTCAATATATACCTACCCTGATTTGAAATTAGGATATTTCCCAATTCAAAGCGTTTAGCCTGTGGCACTAGACCCCAAACCCTAAACTCTAAATGTGTAGTGTTTTTTTGGTGGTTAAATCTAGTAGAATTATATCCCTAATATAAAATACTATACCAAAAGGATGATATAATGTTACTCTATATTGGGTACCATCGTATCCCCAAACAAAATACTACTCAATTGTGTTGAGTATTGCCTGGCCTCCTCATCCAAAGCCGCTGCCCAACTCACACAACTGTGCCCATCCTGCGCGGACGTTTGTGGGAATCTGTTTAGGGTTTAGGGTTTATCATGGGCTAGGGGGTTTAGGGTTTAGGGTCTAGGGTTTTCCCCTATTCCCCCCCCCCCCCTACTGCCCCCCCTCCCCCTAGGTTACCCCGATATGTCTGAGGAAATAAAACCTAATTAGGGCAAATTAAGGGGGAACCTAAAGGGAGACCCATGAGCTGAGGGACCTTCAAAATGCTAAACCCTATAAGCCCTAAACCCTGCGATGACCCCTAGGGTTCCAAATAGCCCAGAATTAGTACCCGGACCCCAAAAGTATGTTCAATTACAGCCCTTTTGATGGTTTTATTGGTTTAGGGCTATCATGTTACGTACTTCTGGGGGTTTAGGTCCTATCCCGAAGTAGCGATACCCAAGGCCTCCTAGGTAGCTCTTTTTGTGGGGTAGCTCCCCTCACCAAGAAACCAGAGCTCAAAAACAGATTACTTAGGAGCCCTGGAGTAGACTTAGAGCCCCAAAGGATGGATGTATACACCCAGACCCTCCTCGTACCCTCTATTAGGGCCTGAGTGCCTACTATTAGGGATTATATACCTCCAATTAAGGCTATTAGGGCCTTGCGTCAGAGCTTGGTTCCAAACCCTAATCCTAGGGGCTTAAGGCTTACCTGGACCCCTAAAAGTATGTAAAATAATGGTCTTTATGGCTATTATTATGGGTTTAGGGCTATTATTTTACATGCTTTTGGGGTTTAGGTACAGACAGGGTTTAGGGTCTAGTTTGTGTAGCGATAAGCCGAAATCTAACTACGGGCATGTCTTGTTGCGCACATACTTATCCCACAGATAGCAGCCTTGAAGCCCGAACCCTAGCCAAAACCCTAAACCACGCAAAACCTAAACCCTAGCTCCACTTCCCACTACCCATGGAAAAGGCCGTCGGAGAGGTTTATCCAGGCAGCTGCGGAAGGGTCCATCGTGGACGAGTAGTAACTTGGGTTCTTCTCTGCCCAGCCCAAACGTGCGTACCCAAAAGCATGCAAGCACAGGGTTTCTCTCTGAGGATAATCAAGAAAGGTTTGTTTGGGTGCTTACCAGTCTTACTCAAAGGCGCTAATCAAGATGAGGTTGGGGCAGCGTAGTATGAGCGCTTAGCAAGATGACCAATCGAAGTGCACATGAACCACAGAGAAGATTTTGGGTACGGGGCGAGCGTTCACGATCGTCAACGTTGCGGATGCGAATCTAGATTTGCAAGCACTTGATACATACGCAACTCTGAGTGTTTACTTGTGCATAAGAGTTTTGCCAAGAGCCGAAGACTTCCAGGACCCTCCTTGTACCCTTAATTGGGGATATATAATGTCCCTAATAGTAGGTACTTAGGCCCTAATAGAGGGTAGGAAAAGGGTCTAGGTTAATAGTCACAAAAGGATTCAAGTCTGCGCCATCTTGAGGTTGAAGTTAAAAAGGGTTCTGGCTTGACCACGATGGAATTGAAGCTTCTGCATTGAAGTTGAAGGTTTTTTCCAAGAGATGTGCGCCGAATGTCATGCATACATAGGTGGGGGCCCTGGTTTGGAAACAGACTGAAACACCTCTTTGAACATAGCTGCGAGTTCGTGTTCAGAAAACTGCGCCGCAAGCAACATCCGAATTTCCAGCCCCGGCACCCTCAAATCCCAAAACCCTGAAGCTGACCCAAAGGGTCCTACCTCTAGACCCTCCAATGTAGTTCCTTTTTGGGCTTGGTATGGTTTTTTGTTTAGGACTCTGCATTGGAGGGTCTAGGTAAGTGCCTATATCAGGAATATTGACATAACGCATATTGTTAATTCCGCTGATAGAACCCTACATTGTGCCATATAGATACTTAAGGCCCCGAACCCTAACCCGTAGAAAACCTTATGTTACCCCTAGCAACCCTACATTGCACCATTTGGATGCTTCGGATCCTTTGAGTGAGTTTTAACATTCTGCACCCTAAACCTTAAATCCTAAACCCGGAACCCCTGAACCCTAAACCCTACAGGCCTACACGTGCTTTTTCCTCTTCCAGCTCATTGGCCATCCGAGAGTGGGTGCGAAAGGATCAAAGTTGGGACCATGATGCGAGCTCTTGTCTAGACCCTTAAAGGGGGGTTATATAGAGGATTGTATCGGGGGCTATTACGGGATTAGTAGGGGGGATACTAGGAGTTTAGACTATATATCATCTGAATTTCACAAAGATCATGTACTGGGTTCGGGGTATCAGAGGCCTAGAATTTGGGGTGGTGTATCTGCTTTGTCTTATCTAGGGGTGATCTTCTGCCCAACAATGACCGAGTTCTGAACCCTAAGCCTTAAATCGCGTAGTGCTGCCAAGTCTGAGGACTTGCCGCTGCAGAAAGAAGAGGCTTGCAGCAAGAAAGCCAGAAGTGACACGTCTGCTTGCCTAGGTTTAGCAGATTTGAGGACCTACGGATTGGGGATTGGGGATTACGTTTGAACGTTTCAGCTTTGGGTTTTAGAGTCGTCTGGGATCTTGGGCGAAGGCATGGAAGATCGTACACATACAAAGAAATGGAGATCAAAGGGGGTCTCTCAGACTGGACCTGTGCTCGGAGACTCCATTCATATATATATGGGCTCACACAAGAGATCTGGGACTAAGGACATTCCAGAGTTTCAAAATAGCTCAAATCATAACCAGTTGCATCGCTCGCTGCACACGAACGGGAGATGAACCTTCGACTTCTGGTTCCAGAAGTAAGGTCTGGGATGCATTGTTCCAGAGGAAAGGAGAGCCATGAATGGTTGTCGCCAGCGCACCCAACCTGTCCGTCAAAAGTAGGGTGCCCTTGCAATCTTCCATCCAACACACGTATAACTCCTAAACCCGAGACCCTAAACCCGTAACCCCTAAACCCTAAACCCCAAACATGGGACCCATGGCTTTGAGACACCTTCATCCTCTCTATACCAGCCATTGACCCTTTTTGCTTGCTTCATAGCCCATATCATCTTTATAACAGTATGCCCCTGGATGAGCTGCAATCTGGACAAGCCTCTTACTACCCGATAAGTTTTAGACTTAAACCCCACAACACCAGCGTTACACTCTACCCTCTATTGAGTCAAAATTCCTACACTCAGGGGCCGTATAGGCAACCACGCCCTAGCTGAGGGTCCAAGTACCTGCATACCACAAAAGACCCAAATGGGCTCCTAGATAGGTACATGGGGGATTGTCAAAATTATGGTCCTTTTTTGGGTCCCCTAAATTAGGCCCCGTATTAGGCCCCGTATTATAATAGGGACCCAAAAAGGGACCATAATTTTGACAATCCCCCATATCCTATAGACATTTGTAAGTACCATGATGAATC